TGAGGTTGGCCCAGGATCGAGCATTGTTTCGTTCTGCTGTGCATGGGGTCGCTATGAGTCGGTTCCGACTCGATGGCACCTGACAACAACAACAACAAAATGTCTCTGAGCACTCATGTCTCCGAGACTTTGTATACGGTTTAGCCACTGCCTACAATCCTCTTACGAAATCTTGATAGTACAGTGGTTAGGCACTTGGTGGCTAACCAGAAGGACTGAATTCAAACTTAGCAGCTGCTCTGTGAAAGACTGACAGTTAGCTTCTGTATAGATTATAAAACCCTATGGGACAGTTCCTGGCATGGTGCTGCGAACTACAGAGTCGGCAGTTCAAACCCACCAACTGCTCCTCAGAAAGCTTACACGGGGTTACTATGAATTGGAACTGACTTAACAACAACAACGAGGCAGTTCTACCCAGACCTGTATGGTCACTATGAGTTGGAATGGACTCAGTGGAAAGAGGTTTAAAATCCTCTTTCCTCAGGTGTCTCTATGCTCTACGTCTTTATTTCTCTGTTTGTACTCACACATCAGCCTCTCAGAGGCCTTCCCTGACCACACTCACCTAGCCCCTTCACCAGCTTTATTCTTCCTAACACTTCTATCCAAGACTGTACATTTGTTCATCTGCATATTGTCTTACCTCCCCCTGCCCTTCTCCCCCATTGGAGTACAGACTCTAAGAGCGTAAGGCCTTTGTTTTCTTTATTTCTTCATCCCTGACTCCCTTACCAATGGCTGGTACATGGTAGGTACTCAACAAACCGTTGCTGAATAAAGGAATCCGATGACTATTTCCTATGCCCTGAATATCCTCCTTCGGTGCATCAGGCTGGTAAACTCTTGTTTATGTGCCAGTGTCAGCTCAAGACCTCTTGTATACAGTGCTTCCTGACTCTCCCAGGGAAACTCAGAGGCCTTCTGTTTACCCACTCACAAGGCTTCAAACTGGCTGTTTCTGGTTCAAACCCTGCTGAGAATTTGCTTTTCTACCCCAGATGCACTGAACCAGAATCTTTAACAAGACCCTGAATCAGAGTCTATATTTTAACAAGATCCTAATCAGCCTTTATGTTTTAACTAGATCCTGAATCAGAATCTATAGTTTAACAAGATCCCTAGATAATTCTTACAGATTCCCAGGTGATTCTTACTGTTTACAAAAGAATCACCTGGGGACCTTATTAGACTATGGCTTCTGACTCAGTCTATTTGGGGTAGAAAAGCAACTCCTTGGCGGGGGTGGGGGGCGCGGGGTGTCAAGCTGGAAAGAACCAGGTGGAAGCCCTGGTCTCCACTACAGAAGTCACTAGTGGGCAAAATCATTTGCCCCTCTCTCACTCACAGTGAGAACTGCCAAGAGCCATAAGGGCAGGACTAAATCTTTTCATTCTTGCATGTCCAGACCATAGCACAGTGCCCTAGTCCCAAACAGGTGGTTATTACATGAAAAATCCATCTTAAAACAAGATTTTCTCTTCACAAAGACGACTGACTTTATCAAAGGGCGGGGCTCAAAATTTTAGCTTTACTAATGCAACTGGTTAGAGCTTCGGCCTAAACTGATCAAACTCTCTTACACCCATACCAATATTGACAAAGGCGTGAAAAATATATATAGTTCTTTTTGAAAGGATAACTTACCCATAATCCTCTAAGGCACATCCCAGCATAAGAAAAGTCAGCCCAATAGCCCCACTGAAGGATAAAGCCACTAGAGCTGTGAAAAAGAAAACTGAGAGTTAAACATTGATCCTAGATCAGTGGATGACAGAATTGAGGGGAACGGGAATAGAGAATGACTACTAATGGATACGGAGTTGATTTCTGAGTGAAAAAAAAAAAAAAAAAATGTATGCAAATTCAATAGTGGTGACCATGGAGCCTTGGTGGTACAATGGTCAAAAGCACTTAACCAAAAGGTTAGAAGTTCAAATCCACCAGCTGCTCTGAGGGAGAGAGCTATGGCCGTTGGCTTCCATAAACATGTAAAGCCCTGGAAAGCCTATGGGATAATTCTACATTGCTCTATAGGGTTGCTATGAGTTGGAATCAACTGGACAGCAATGGGTTGTTTTTGTTTGTTTGGGATGGTTGTAATCTTGTGAATATACTAAAAATCCGTGAATTGTACACTTAAAGAGTTTAATTTTATAAGGGAATTCTACTTCCACAAACAAATTTAAGTGAAAAAAAAAAGTTAAAAGATTACAAGTTAAACAAAGTTAGCAATTTATTTAACTGATGTTACATTTGACTAGCAAATGACTACTTATGCCCACCACTTTAAAATCTATAAGGTAAAGAAACGTCTCAAACATCTCCAATACTAAACCCCTATCTGAAAAAATCTCTCAGTATTTGTCACAAAATAGGTCATCCATCCAATTTGAACAAAAGAAACTCACTATGACCTAAGATAGGCTGTTTCATTCCAATGTGTTCTCAATGCTGAAAGTCCTTCTTCCTTATATCCAAAACGGCCTCCCTGTAATAGGATCCCTTTGTTCAGTTTGCAACCACCACCAACACCCCCCCCACCCCCCACCCCCGCCAAACCACTGTCCTTCAAGTATTTGAAGACTGCTTTAATGACTTCATAGAAAATAATTCCCAACTGTTGCTTTTGTTAGATGTCATCGAGTTGGCTCTAATTCCCAACTGTTGTTGTTAAATGCTGTCCAGTAAATTCTGACTTATAGTGACCCTGTATAGGGTTTCCAACCAGTAGCTGGAGGACTTGAGTTGCTGACCTTGTGGTTATCAGTCCAGTGCTTATCCCACAGCACCATGGCAGGACTCCAATTCCTGAGCTGTTGTTGTTAAGGGCTATAGAGTTGGTTCCAATTAAAAGAGACCCTGTATAGGATTTTCAAGGAGCAGCTGGTGAGCTTGAACCACTGACACTGCAGTTCAAACCAAGTTTGCAGTTCAGCGCATTAACCCACAGTGCCACACCAGGACTCCAAGTAGTACCGATCCACTAAATACAGATGTTTATTCCTGCATCTGCTGGAAACTAAGCTTCGAAGGGTAGAAGCTATTTGCCCTTGTCATGCTTCTGAATGAAAAATGATCCTGGTTGTTAAAAAGTCTGAGCTCTAAGCCACAAATACGAGTTATCTTTACTCTGCCCACTTGGGTAGAAACCGAAACTCTTTAAACTTGATTTCTCACCAGCAAAATGGGGAATTATTAGGGGGTTTATGGGAATTCAATGAGATAATCTATGTAAAGTACTTAGCAAAAAGGGGTCACTCAATAATTTTGTGAATTGAATCATGTATCTGCTCATTTTAGCCATGTTCTTTCATAAAAGTACAAAGCAAAAGCATAAAACACTGTATTAGCCAAATATTCTTTTATGGAAAAAAAAAACTACAACATTCAAATTAGTCACTAATTAACATGCTTTATTGCTTCCTTTAACTGAGAAGGAGATGGGACACTAAGAGGAGATTTAGAAAGACTGTTTTCTTGGAAGATGGCAAAATACTTTATAAGAAACATATGGCAGTATATACCAAAATGTTACGAGACAAAGGACAAGGAAGAATGGTCACACTTAATTAATGGTCACACCTTTTTCCAATTAGTACGTATCACTTGTTAATAGAAAAATGTACCAATGTAGAAAGACAGTAACTTTCCACATATTATTACCAGATGAGCTCCCTGGTAAATTCTATTCTGTTCTTCAATGTCTCCTCCATGCAGCCTTCCAAAAAAGAATCTAGATACAACTTTCTGTTCTAGGACACTCATTTCTCAAGATTCACAATCGTATCTCTGGCTGGTTCTTCTTGTCTTTTTAAGATTTGGGGATTTTCCAGAAAACTCCTCCTCTGCCATCTTTTAAAGCTGGAGTTAACCAGGAGTCCAACTCCATTCCTCTTACTGAGAAATTGCATTTAACCTAAAGTTCCCATTTCTGCAAGATCTTGGCACTTCTGATGTTCCAGTCTAGTTGTTGTTATTAAGAACCATTGAATTGGTTCCGACACATAGCAACCCTACATACAGTTTCTGAGGAGCAGCTGGTAAGCCTGAACCGCTGACCTTGCAGTTTGAACCGACTTTGTAGTCAAGCACATTAACCCACAGTGCCACACCAGGACTCCACTCAAGAGTTAGTCTTAATTCTGGATTTACTTCAATCTGGACTTCTCTGTGTCGACTGCTGTTGTCATGTGCCATCAGGTCAGTTGTGACTCACAGTGACTCTTACAGGGTTTCCAAGAAGCAGCTGGTGGGTTTGAACCACTGACCTTGAAGTCAGCAGTCCAGTGTTTATCTTACAGCGCCATACCAAGACTCCTTTGCCTCCACAGCCAACCAAAACAAACAAAAAACACTGCTATAATCAATGCCGACTTATAGTCAACAAGGACCTCAAATTTGACATCTGTAAAACTGAATCATCATCTTGCCTTCCCTCCCAAGTTGCACTTCTTCCTTTCATTGAAGGTCCTGTGCTGGAGGATGCACTCCACCTTCCAGAAAGTCACCAAGTTCAGGTAACTCAATCTTGTGACCATCACTCAAATTCACCCTCTTCTCTAAAACACTCTGCCATAGCCCTAAAGCAGGTTCTCATCATCTCATGCGTGGACCTGCCTATGACCATATTCTTCCAATCCATCCTTTCCACGTCACACAGTGATCTTTCAAATCTATTAATCTGGTGTTACACGTTTGCAGTTGCTTTCACACCTACAGATTGTCCGGACACTTGAGGTTCACCATGGTCTGTCCCTAACTGCTTTTCTAGTTTCAACCCTCACCATTATTCCCGTAAGTTATGTTTTGTTGTTGTTAGTGCTGTCAAGTTGGTTCCTATTCATAGAGACCCTGTATAGGGTTTCCAAGGAGCTGCTGGTGAAGTTAAACCACTGACTTTGTGGTTCAAACCAATCTTGTGGTCCAGTGCTTTATCCCACAGTGCACACCAGGACTATGCCCTAAGTATTGTCTTACTAAAGTAGCTTAAAGAAATGTGCTTTCTCACCTTGTTCTCAGAGCCCATGTCATGTGTTCTCTTCATCTGGAATTTACCTGCCCTTCTGAATAAGCTGAAACTCTCACTGATGCTATGTAGTTCAAGTCTGCCTCCACTGTGAAAACAGTCCTCTTCTTCCTCGGAGCAGGCTATGCACAGTTTAAGTAATCCCATCCAGGCTCTGACTATACCTTAACAATAACATAACTATTTCCAGCTGTAACCCCACAATAACTTCCCCTGGTTTTGTTTTTACCTCAAGTCTCAGGCATACAGTAATCTCTCAATAAAAGATGAATAGAATTGACTGTAAACTATCTCCTCCTCTTGTTGTCAGGTGCCATCGAGTCGGAACCGACTCATAGCGACCCCATGCACAGCAGAACAAAACAATGTCTGATCCTGGGCCAACCTCACTACCACTGCCACACTCAATACCATCAATGATGCCACCTGTCCGATCCATCTCGTTTCCTATCTACCATACATATTTTTATATGGTACACTGTCTAACATGTTCACATTAAACATTATTATTATTTGGAAGTTTCTGGTTATGACTAAACACTGTGTAGTTAGTACTCAGACACTACTTGTCTGGTTTTTGCATGCTCACTGTGTTAACAGCCATGTGGAACCAATGCAAAAAACAGATATTCACACAGTGGGCGCAGTTCAAGTAAGCCAGGTTATTGAACTCATTTGTAGTTCTTGTTGTTAGGTGCCATCGAGTCAGTACTGACTCATAGCGACCCTGTGCACAACAGAAGGAAACACTACCAGATCTTGGACCAACCTCACAATTGTTGCCACACTTGATCCCATTGATACTGCCACTTTGCCTGACTTCAAAACTCAGTCCTGCATAACGATAAAAAGTATCTGCTGCCAAGAGTTCACTCAGATAAATGTCATACTGAACACACGCATACTATACACATGCTTGTAACAGTTTAGTGGGGAGAGATCTTTTAGTACAAATTTTAGGGACATTCGGAACTCCAACATGGAGCCAAATTATGTTTTATTGGCAAGATTAGAAATTGTAAGTTTCCTACCAAAATATTCCCTGATAACCTCCCTCATCAATGCCATCTTTTGTATCCCCTTAATATCAGGTGTCCCACTCAAAAACAAATTGTTTTCTGTCCACAAATGAACACTGAAGAAAATACTGCTAAAATGCTCCTAATCTAGCCTCCCCAACGGAAATTACTAGGAACATGAGGGCTGAGTTCCCCAATGGAGAAAGACCAATGGCTTCTCTGTCAGAAATAGGCAGTGAAACTGAGTGGCAGGAACAGGGCGCAGAGGGTTGGGTGGGCGAGTCGGGAAGTGGAAAGCTCTGTCCAGAAATTATCAGCTGGCGGACCAGGTGTGCCCAGGAGGACACAGGACTCGCCGCACGGCCTCCTCCTGGAAAGAGGGAGGGAGCCACGCCGGTAAGAGCGTTAGGAACGGTTTGCAAAAAAAGCACTAAGATTCGACCCCAACTCCCCTCCACTCGCACCCCAAGGAGCAAGAGGAGAAGAGAGGCAGGGGGCGCCTTCCCGCCCGAAGAAGACCAGGGGCGGCCGCTCCCCGCTGGCGCGCCGAAGGAGCAGCTCCAGGATCAGCCCAAAGCGGGGGGCGACCGCACCGCACAACGGTCGGGGGCCGCGGAGGTACCTTTAACGCCCGCCATGTCTCCAGAGCTGTGGCCGCGACTACTTCCGGCTTCCTGCCACAGCCACGGCCCTGCCCCAGCTCTGCCCAGCGAGTGGACAGCTCAGCGGATCCCGATTCGCTCTTCCATACAGAAACCCGCCCCACTAGCCCAGCGTCCTCCTTCATGGGTCGGGATCCCACCCCTGCCGCCCAGGGCCCCGCCTCCGCCTGTCCCGAATCCTAGCACGCCATTAAAAGCCCCGCCCCTATACACAGACTCCTGCCCCAGCGCCAAAGCTCCGCCCTCTGCCCAATATCCTGGATCTCTGGCAAGGTGGAGGGTCTGCAAAAAAGAGGAAGACTCCCCAGCGAGATGGATTGGCAAAGTGGCAGCATCAGTGTGCTCAAGCGTGGCAACAGTAGTGAGGTTAGCCCAGGATCGGGCATTGTTTTGTTTTGCTATGCATAAGGTCGCTATGAGTCTTCAAGCTCACCAGGACCTGATGTGGCGCTGTAGGATGAAGCACTGCGCCGAAAGGTTAGAGGTTCAAACATACCAGCCCTTGGAAACCCTTTATAGCCTGAACTCCTACCTGAATGGAGGTCTATGCAGGGGAGGAGGCGAATGGAGGGCTGAAGTTACTATAGGTGAGGGAGGGTAGGACACCTGCATACTGACTAGCTTTGAGATTCTGAATCCAGCTGTGTTTGTGTGCTTGTCTATCTTCGTTCTCCCGGAGGACTACAGAACTAGAATTTACCTGGTGATACAGCCCCTTCTCCTTTACCTCCGGGGTGTATTTGCGGGGGTGTATTTGTAGAGACAAAAACCCCCAAGGCTCTCATGCACTTTTCAATAACTAGTTTTTGTTTTTATTCTTTGGGAATGCAAAGTCTGCAGGTCGCCCAGGCCAATTTAGGTCGCATTACAGGAATGGAGAGTTTTCTCTTGATGACCAAACACAATATGAAAAAACTCTCGGAAACCATCTGGCCCAAATGCTCAATTTTACCGTGTGGAAGAGACTCAAGGTTGGCCTGATTTCACACAGTTTTTTGGAGGAGATTGGATTAAAGCCACTTTTCCCTCACTCATGAACCCTTTAGTTGCACAGCGACTAAAGCATTCAACTGCTGCCCTGAGGTCAGCACTTCTAATCCGCCTTTGTTATTGTTAAGTGCAGTCCAGTCGGTTCCAACCCATAGCGACCCTCTACAGGGTTTCCAAGGCTGTAAATCTTTACGGGAGCAGAAAGCCTCATCTTTCTTCTGGCGAACTACTGGTAGTTTCGAACTGCTGACCAACTGCTGCAGGGTTAGCAGCCTAACTCGTAACCACTACTCTACCAGAGCTCCTTTACAGGCTTGGAAACCCTATGGGGTGGCTCTACTCTGTTTTATAGGATCACTATGAGTTGTAATCTACTCCTTGACATGGTTTTCCCTCATTCTAGAGAAGGCACCCCTCTGTACTATGTGGTCCTTCTATTGTTTTTTCCCCAACTCAGAGGGACCCTGTATAGAGTTTCCAAGGAGCAGTTGGTGAGCTTGAACTGTGGACCTTGCAGTTCAAACCAACCTTGCAATTCAGTGCATTTTAACCTGCAGTGCCACATCAGGACTCCCCAAAATACATGTTGTTGTTATTAAGTGCCGTAGAGTTGATTCTGACCCATAGCAACCCTGTATAGGGTTTCAATGGAGCAGCTGGTGAGCTTGAACCACTAACCTTGCAGTTCAAAACGGCTTTGCAGTCTGACGCATTAGCCCACAGCGCCACACCAGGACTTCCCCCAAGATACATTGGAAGCTGAAAATGGGAAGTGATACTAGATTTAATCCCACAGAAAATTCTCACAATTAAGGAGGAAAAGTGCTACTTCCTCATGAGACTAGTTGTGCACTGCAGTTACGGGAGCTGAAAGGGGCCGACTTCCAGAGTCTGGCTGATATACAGTGTTCCCAAGTACTTTGACAGGTTTCAGAAATAATGTGATAGTGAAAATAAGAAAATGGGAGCTCTTCATGGTGGCAAGCTACAAAGTCAAAGAGTACAGCATCTGCAGCGAGCCAGGTATTAGCAATAAAATGTTTTAAATGAGAGTACCATTCATCTCTGATGAGAGCTAGGAGGAGCTGGAAAAAGAAAATCAACCATTTCTGAGACAATAAAATGTTCAATGTATGATTTCCCAGTGGGAATTCTGAAGGAGGGCGGTGATGAGAATTTCTACTATTCAGGTAGTCTAGGTTCCCACGGACTCCTTTCTCTTTCAGTCTTGTGCAAAGTTGAGAGATGGAAACACTATCTTCACTAGTGTATAGATCTGATGCAGGATAGATATGTCAAGAAAAAATAGCTTTATGTTTTGACATAAAGTTTCTCTGATTCCCTAGCAATACTTTCTGACTTATCCTCGTATATGCAAAACAGATGCAGCAGTGTCATATCTGTCACAGAGGAAAACTCTCAAGTCAATGCATAAGTTAAATGCAAGTATGACACTATGCAACTGAAACAGTAAATGTTGGCCTTCTGCCCTAACTCACTACCACGATTTCTTTTTACACAGGCAACCCCTTTACAGAGCCTTCAGTGTGACTTTGCGTTTTACACAGGAAGATTTCTCTCAGCTTGATGTGGCATTGTAGGTTCATGTGCTGCAATGGAAAGTCAGTTTGAACCTCAAGGTTGGTAGTTCAAGCTCACCAGCGGCTCACTGAAAACCCTCTACAGTGTCGCTATGGGTTGGAACTGACTCAACGGCACTTAAGAAGGAGACGGGAATAAGGACCGAGGCTCAGGTGACATTTTGGGCTGCCTTTTCTTGCTAATGTTATCCACTCCCACAACCTGAGGTTTCCATTAATTCCAGCACTGGTATTGAACTGAAGTGATATACTTGGTCAAATCTTCTACCAAATGATAACTGTTTATGGAATTTAACTTTTGTTCCTTCCATCCATGATACACATGCCATAGAGAGGTGACCCAGCGGAATGCAGAAATCATCAAACAATGTCATTAACATCACATGCAACTAAAATTTTGTTAAAGATAATTTAAAAACGACTGTAGCAGTACATTGACAGAGGACTGCCAAAGGTTCAAGCTGGATTCAGATGAGGACATGGAACAAGGTATATAATTGCTGACATCAGATGCACATTGGCTGAAAGCAGATAATACCACAAAGATGTTTACCTGAGCTTTATTGATTTTGCAAAAGGTTTTGACTGTGTGGATCATGACAAGCTATGGACAACACTGTGGAATATGAGTATTCCAGAACACTTAATTGCGCTCATGAGGAACCTGTACACAGACCAAGAGGCAGCTGTTGAAACAGAACAAGGTGACACTGAGTGGTTTAAAACCAGGAAAGGTGTGCATGAGGGTTGCATTCTTTCACCATACTAATTCTATTTGTATGTTGAGCAAATAATCTGAGAAACTGGATTATATGAAGAACATGGTTATCAGAATTGGAGAAAAACTCAATAACAACCCACAATATACAGATGATACAACCTTGCTTATTGAAAGTGAAGAGGACTTAAAATACTTACTAATGAATATCAAAGACCACAGTCTTCTATATGAGTTGCACCTCAGTACAAAGAAAGCAAAAATCCTCACCACTGTACCAATAAATAACATCTGTATAATTGGAGCAAAGATGGAAGTTGTTAAAGACTTCATTTTGCTTGGATCCACTATCAACACTCATGGGAGCAGCAATCAAGAAATCAGACCACGTATTGCATTAGGCAAATCTGCTGCACAAGATCTCTTTCAAGTGTTGAAGAGCAAAGATGTTAGTTTGAGGAAGAAGGTCGTGCACCTGACCCAAGTCCTGGTATTTTCTTTAGCCTCATGTGCATGTGAAAGTTGAACAATGAATAAGAAAGACCATATGGTGTTAGAGAAGAATATTTAAACTACCATGGACTACCTACCAGAAGGAAAAACAAATCTGTGTTGAAGTACAACCAGAATGCTCCTTAAAAGCCAGGATGGATAGACTTCATCTCTCATACTTTGGACATATTATCAGAAGTGGCGGGTCAATGAAAAAGAGGAAGACCCCAGCGAGATGTATTCACAGTGGCTTCAACAATGGGCCCAAGCATAACAACAATTGTGAGGATGACGCAGGACCAGACAGTGTTTGGTTCTGTTATATCTAAGGTTGCTGTGAGCTGGAACTGACTCCATGGCACCTAACAATAACAACAATCCATGATACAATAGTGGCATTAAGATCCAATTTGAGCATTTTGTTCCTAGATGTAGATAGTACAGTGATGATTCAAATGCATCTGTTTTGCCAAACTGATTCCCAAATGAACATGCTTCTTCTATCTTTAAAGAACTAAAATATCTGGGACTTTGTTTCCAAAACAAGGTTCCATAGTCCCAGGATCGATCCCTTTGTCTCAGCATACAAATGTAATTTGAAAAAAATCCATTCATATTCTAGTTAGTCAGCCAAGATTTCTGTCCTGGTTCTTTTTAAAACACAATATCCAAGTAACATGATTGAAAGGTGATCATTTTACCAAGATCCCCAAAGTGAGCATGTGTATGAGGGGTGGGAGGAAAACGGATGCTTAAAGTATAAATCCATAAATCCTGTCAGATGACATTTCCGTGCAAATGTATTATGTGCTTCCCATATTCTTTTCCTGTAACTCTGCTGAAAACTGAACCACATTGGAAGCTGAAATTTAAGCTTCTATTCATATTCCTGTAAATATGAAAATAAAGTTTCTATAAATATTTTTGAGCTTTTTAATATACATTACAAATATTTTAGACCAATCACATTTTGTTGTGTGTAACATATTTACAAAACAAAAAATATATTACAATAAATATGAATGAAACAGTGAATCAGACCAACAATAAGCTCTGTTACAGCCAGTTATTTAAAAGGAAAAACCTGCTGGTCTGCATATTTTAAGAATTTTTAGATAAACAGGGATCCAGAATTATAATGTATCTGGAAAGAGATGTGGGGGGAAATCCCCAGATTTAAGTTAGGTAAGAATCTTTCTCATTGCTAATTACATTGCATTAATTTGATGATGTTTTAAACTATGAACTTTGATGAGTTATCCAAACGTGATACAAAGCTAATATAGTTTTATCATTTCAAAAAGTACCTGACATCCACATAGTATCATTTTAATTATTGTTATATAGTGTAGTTCACACAATATCTACAAATGTGAATGAGAAAGGAAAAAACAAAACCAAACAGGTCACAGCAACATGTCCCACATTCCAGTTTTAAATAAGACAAGCACATACTGGATCAAACATTGTATCATAATACATTAATAAATAACATCTAGTTGTTAATGGTTACCTTGAGCAGTTTATAGCTGTATATTTTAAGAGAACATTTTCTGCGAGTTTCACATTGTCAGTTAAAGGTAAAATAAATAATGAACCTTTGTAACCAAAACAAACAAACAAACAAAGCGTGAGAGAGTTCTCTATAGAACATAAATCATTTTTGACATGCTGCTTTTCTGGTATAGTTTGCCACAAGAAACTTAAAATAGAAACAAAAAGTGATTGTCGTTTAAAAACAATGTTTGAAAGCTTTCCACAATATTGATAGAAACCTTTAAGATTAGCCTGGAAATCTTTTTGCTCATTTGCTTTGCATATGTATAGGATGCACTCTGTGTATGTGGACCCCAAAACTGATCTATCAGAGTCACAAGACATCAACTGCTGTTAGCATTCAGAATCAGAAACAGCCAAAACTATGAACTGAAATCCAACCAGGCTGAGGTCTGGAAAGGTTTCCCCTTCTTGCTTTGCTTTCACAGATGCTCCTATGAGAATGTTTTTCCTTGGGACCAACAACAACTTTAAAAACAATAAACCCCACTTCACCAGGTTTGGTGGGGATGTGGGACCCAGTTCCTTAAAGCAGAATACTGACAAGACATCTGAAGTTGTTCTGAAGGTGAACACAGCTCTCACTGCACCTGTGCATTGCTCTTGCCAGGTGTTCATTGTTATCGTCTTCCATTGTGTTACTACAACCGCTCACAAACCAACAGAAGACTGAGTCCGTAGTGCATATCAGTGCTGAGAAACTGTGAACAGGGCAAACTGCTCCAGAACCTGTTTCCAGCTAAGAACATTTTTTTTTTTTTTGGCTAAGCAAACGAAGAGCATTAAGTCTTATGGAAAAATTAGAAGTTTCTTTCACGTCGGGTTTAGAGTTGTTGTTAAACTGTTAAGACTTTTCTTTCTTAAAGCAATCAGTTTTTGAAGGGAATGAAAGGTAGCAACCCAACTCCCTGACCAGGAATCAGGAGCCCCTATTTTCTTTAGGCAGCATTTTTACTAATCTTTCTGCTTACCTAGGAACAGTCAGTGGTAATCAATGGACTGTAGCATAATCACTTACCACCATTCAGGTTCTGTTACATCTGTTAGTCTTCCAGACCAAAAGAAGTATACAGTATGCTAAAGGTCATAGTAAATTTCCATTTAAAAAACAGAAGAAAAAAACCCAAAAACTGCTGGTTGTGTTCCTCCAGTCTGTGTAAAGCTGTTGCTCAAATTACATCTTTTCAAGAAAATTTAAAAACCATTATTTAAAACCATCTATTATCTTAACTTTTGCTCATTTAATCCTATTCTCAAATGAGATGGGTGTTGGGAGCCTTTGGGGCCTCTATTTCCGTTTCTCCCAGGCAAAATTCTGAACAGGCTCCCCCAGAGGGCAGGAACTCTGACTAAGAGTTCCTCTCTTGTTCTCAACAATGTATGCTGGGGACTTCCAGAAACCAAGCATCCACATTCCTTAGACGAGGAATTAATTCACGAGTAATTGAACAGTTTAGTACTGGAAAACTTGTTATTGGAATTTTTGGTTCATCTGTGAATACTCAGGATATTGATACACACTAAGCATAGCACAGGTCTGCAGCAGAGATGGGAAAGCTCATTAATTAATACAAGGCCTTTTGGCCTTGATTTTCAAATTCAGACCAGGCATCATTTAGTTCCATGAAAATCATCTTTGCATATTGTTCGTAGGGTTGTCCAGTAGCCTGAAGAAAGAACAAAAGTATACATTAGACACCACAGACCAATATTTATATTTTTCTACTGCTAATGTATAGGCTCTGAGTAATTATATATATATTTTTAAGTTAAACCATTCCTCTTATTACTGTTTAGTCCATGTGATCCTAATTACTATGATCTTCCAGAAAATCCTCACCCTAGAAATTCATCTATGCTGGTGATGAAGAGAGAATGCATGGGTAGCTAGAGAAGCATTTTCCAGAAGCATCTACCAACATGCCAAAAGTTCACGGCAACCTATTTTCAATTGACTGTCCATATTTCTAAACTCCTAATTTCCCCATTTCTAAAGAGTAAGTGCTTTCAGACCCATTATAGGGGCATACAGTTTGTGGATTTTGCTCATCTCACATTCCTTTTTCTCTTTCTCATCAAAACTCAAAAAGAGAAGTTGTTTCTCACTAATTCTTCTATTGAGATTATTCACAAAAATATTAAAAGAGAGAGAGTTGAAAATCAAATACATCAAACTCAAGATTGAAGTGTGCCCCAAGTGGCACTTCAATAGTAGCTTAATGTCATATAATGGGTGTAGTCCACGTGACAGCCAGATGTCTCACTTCTGTCTGGGATGGATTATTCATAGTTTGAACTTCCGTGGTTTTTCTGTCAGCTCTTACTGTATTCTTATAAGAGACCAGGGCACAGTTTATACCTGATCCGTAAACATTTACTCACTGGTGAATCTTAAATCTTTCTAAGTAAAGCTCCCATCTTGCTATTTGTAATATAGTGTTGGATCTATTTTCATCCACTTCATGAAGTGATGAATGTCTAATTTAATTATTTATATGTTCAATTTTACCTCATGGATTTTTTTATAGGAATGAAATGGCCTGAACAATCAGCTTACTGGAAGGCTGAGCCTCATGGAATAAGGAGCTGAAGACAGGTAGCAGGCTCTACTCACTTTATCTGGGTGCACCACCAGGACAGCCTTCCGATACACCTTCTTCACCTGCTCCGGTGTTACCAGGTCTGCCATGCCTACTGGTTTCCACTTGGTCTCTCCAGCCCACAGCACAGTGTGCAGAGTAGAAAGAAGTGCTCTGATATTTCTTTCTTTGCCTTCTATCCATTCTAGAATCTGTAAGTGCAGGACGAATTAAGACAGTCAAAGGATTTAGAGTCCACAAGCGATCCACGGGGAGGGGACTCTGGAGGCTCCTCCTGCACCTAGGACATCAAAGTACTTGGGGCTTCCTACACATCTTAGGCTGTTCCCTTCACCTGGAATGCTTTTCTGCCTTCCACCTCCCACCTCCTGTCTTCCTGGCATGCTTAATTCATCCTCATCCTTCAAATGCCTGCTCAAGAATGTCATACCCTTAGCCTTTGGCCATTTGAATTTCCTCCTCCCTAGTCCCCAGAGTTAATTAGCCATTCCTGTTGAGTCAATTTCGACTCAGAGCCACCCTGTCAGACAGGGTAGACCAGCCCCATAGCATCTCCAAGTCTGTAATCTTCATGGAGTCTCTGTGGCACTGTTGTTGTTGTTATGTGCCTATGTGCCGGGGAGTCGGTTCTGACTCATAGTGACCCTGTACAGGGTTTCCGAGGCTGTAAATCTTTACAGGAGCAGAAAGCCTCATCTTTCTCCCGCGGAATAGCAGGTAGTTTCAAACTGCTGACCTTGTAGATCGCAGCCCGATTCGTAACCACCTTGCTACCAGAGCTCCTTAGATAAATACTGGACAGCTAACCACAAGGTCACTGGTTCAAACCTATCAGCCACTTCTTGGAAACAGTAGGCGGAGTCCCTTTGAATCAGAACAGACTGGATGGCACTCAACAACAATCTTTACAGAAGCAAACTACCACATCTTTCCCCCTGGAACACTGGTGGGTGTGAACCACTGACCTTTCAGTTAGCAGTCAAATGCTTAATCAGTGTGCCACCAGGGCTTCCTCCAGAGTTAGCTATTGTTGTTGTTAAAGACTGTTCAATCAGTTCCAACTCATAGTGACCTTGCACAGGGCTTCCAAGGGACGGTGGATTTGAACTGCTGACCTTGTGGTTAGCAGTCCAGTGCTTATCCTACAGTGCTCCTCTTAAAGTACAAACTCCATGAGGTCACATACTACATAAGTTTTGCTCTCTGCCTAGTGTGACCTGTGGGCTAATGCATCAGACTGCAAAGTCATTTGAACTGCAAGGTCAGTGGTTCAAGCTCACTAGCTGCCCCTTGGAAACCCTGTACAGGATCGCTATGGGTTGGAATCAACTCAATGCACTTAACAACACATATGCCCTATGGAGTTCTGCTGTGGCGCCATAGGATAAGCACTGGATTGCAAGTTCAGTTTAAAACTGAAAGATCAGTGGTTCAAACTCACCAGCTGCTCCTCAGAAACCATATACATGGTTGCTATGAGTTGGACCTGACTCAGTGGCACTTAACAACATATTTCCTACAGTGTCCTGGGGTGGTACTGTAGATCAGTGGTTCAAACCCATCAGCTGCTCCTTGGAAACCCTATAAAGGGCTGTTATGAGTTAGAACCAATACAACAGCACTTAACAACAAGTACAGTGGCTGGTATGCACACACACACTTAATGAATATTTCCTGAAAAAAGAATGAATTGTCTGTGTATTTGTCTTGCCTTGCCATTAGGCATAACTCCTTGAGGAAAACTATTATTTTTATAGGTCATTGCACCTCAGGAACCAAGTAATATACCTGGCACAGAATGGAGCTCAAAATATTTGCTAAACGCATTGATCCATTAAAGCAGGATGGGGAACTACCAGCCTGTGAATGATATGATAAATTTTGGCAGAAAAAAGGTTCCCCACCCCTGCATTACAGCCATTCATAGGTCCCTGGGTGATACGAACTGTTTGTACTCAGCTGGTAACCCAAAGGCTGTTATTTCAAACCGACCCAGTGGTGACCTGTTTCTGTGAAGATTACAGCCAAGGAAACGCTATGGAGCACCTCATCTTGGTGTTATGGGGTCATTATGAGTTAGAATCCATTCAATAGCACAAGGCAGCAACAACGTTCAGAATATGAACACTCATAGTTTAAACAGATGAGATGATTGAAGGCTTGTCAACAATGAACACACACTTAGCACACTACAACCCACTGTCAGTTGTGTTAATTCCTACTCATAGAAACCCTATAGGATAGACCTGAACTGCCCATAACGTTTCCAAGGTGTAATCTTTACAGAAGCAGACTGCTGCTGCTTCTTCTTCCCACAAAGTGGCTGGTGGTTTTGAACCACTGACCTTAGAATTATAGCTCATTGCTTAAACCCGCTATACCACCAGGGTTCCTACTTAGTACATAACAGTAGCTACATGAGTGCCTACTGCCGAATGAATGGTTCATATACGGTAATAATGGTGGCCGTCCGGTATGACGTCACTGATGCTGCTGGTGTTGCTAAGTGTCACTGAGTTGGTTCTGAGTCACAGTGACTCTGTGTAGGGTTTGAATCACCAACCTTGTGGTTAGCAGTCCAGTACTTATCCTACAGTGCCACAGCAGTACAAAGTAAATGGTGGTGGTGGTATTTGTGTGCTGTGAAGTCAGTTCTGACTCATGGTGGCCCTGTATAGAGTTTCAGAGACAGTAAATCTTCAGGGGAGCAGAAAGCCTTGTCTTTCTCCCAAGGGGCAACTGATAGTTTTGTATTGCTGACCTTGTGGTTAGCAGTGCAACTCGTAACCCATTACATTACTAGGATTCTCTGCAAATGAGTGGTCTTTGGCAATCAGATAACCAAGTAGGGTTTAAAAGAAACAACTTTTTTTAATAGAAAGAATTGCCAAACTGTTAAGAGTTTACCTAAGCAATGTCTTCAGGCAATAAAGGTAATAGAGATGGAAAGTGATATTTTGGGAAGGAATAGAAAGCCCCAGTGTGGTGCTGTAAGGTAAGCACTGGACTGCCAACTGCAAGGTCAGTGGTAAACTCTACACAGGGTGGTTATGCGTCAGAACCGATTCCTTGGCACTTACCAACAACAACAGAAAGTCTCTGTGATGTGAAAAATAAATGCAAACAAAGGATCATCGATGGTACACAAAAAACAAAGATCTAGATACCTACAACAAATGTTTGAATCTATTTGGAAAGTATAGAGATAAACAGTAGTTTAAATATATATATGGAATCCTGGTGTGGTGCTGTGGATTAATGTGCTGGACTACAAGGTCAGTTTGAACTGCAAGGTTAGCGGTTCAAGCCTCACCTTGGAAATCCTATTCAGGGTCGCTATGAGTTGGAACCAACTTGACAGCATTTAACAACAACACATATTTGCATATACATTGCATATAACATGCATATATTTTATATTTACAAATATATTTCAAAATGTGCAATACTGAATGCTAGCCCTGATTTTGGAGCTTCTTTAATGCAGTAACAGGTCCTCAATCTTCCAGTTTGTTATAGTGTCAGCATTTACTAGTTCATCACACAGGAACCAACCTGCTATCTGTGAAGAGCATTCTAACTTCTCTTGATCCTTACAAACTTTACAAACACATACAAACAGAATTACCCTGCTCTTTCCAAGCTAACCTGTGTCCACCTGACCACACAACTCTTCATCTATGAAATAAAAGCCATTTATTACTAATCTATGAAGTAAGACGGTTACGTTCATGGATTTGCAAACACTGAAAACATTTGAAGCCCTGATGTGGCACTATAAGATAAGTACTCAACCACAAGATTGGTTTGAACTGCAACTGATGGTTCAAACTCACCAGCTGCTTCTCAGAAACACTATACAGGGTCACTATGAGTTGGAACTGACTCAACAGCATTTAACAACAGCAATAAAATATTAACCTAAATTTCCAGAATGGGAAAAATAAATTAATAAAAGTCAGACTTCTCTGGTTGAAAATGAAGAGGGGCAATGGGAAGACTTGGATCCATCCCCCCCCTTTAACTTCCCCTATCTCCACTTCCCCGTACCTGACCCAAATTAAAATCAAACCCATTACCTCAGAGTCGATTCTGATTCACAGAGACCTACTATAGAGCAAAACTGTTCTTTACAGTTTCTGAGACTAAATCTTCATGAAAGCAGGCAGCCTCATCTTTGTACCATCGAGCAGCAGGTAGGTTGGAACTGCTAACCTCATGGTTTAACCCCTTATCCCACTAGGGCTCCTTTCCATACCTGCAGATCTTGTTAATTCTCAGGTACATAAATATTTCTCTATCAACAAAGAGACCATACTGTGGGCTTCAGCCAATCTGGTCTGACATAAAGCTCTTAAGGCAAAATGAGTAGGCCCAAATAAAGCATCCTTCTTAATACCAAATCTGCCATTTTTAGAATCTGAATGCCATTTTAATAACAAAATCCCCTCTTACAGTGTTATGGCCCCTTTGAACAGTTAAACAAAGGAAATCTATGTTACCACAACTCAGCATAAAATATATTTTATTAAAGAAATTAAACAGCATTAGTTGCCCTTCCCATACCTAGTTTGCTATTAAAGGGTAAGGCTGAACTCAGATCACACATTTGGGACAAACTGAATTACTGTGTATGCCTTAAATCTAACATGGTACCTTCTATTGACTCATTTCCGTGCACATGACCTTGTCATACAGGAGCATCACACTTGATGAGGGGCCGACTCACCTTTAGTTTTTCAGGATCCATTTCCTTAGCCATTTCCTCCTTTCTCATCTCAGCTATTGTTCGAGGTCCCTTTTTATCTTTGTGTGCATTGAAGCCTTGGCCAGAGAGGAGGTCTTCAAAGTCCGCTGCTTTTTGTTTCCCTTCTGCAATATGATTTTTGAAAATGATTATACCTTTCTACTCTTAACTCTAACATTGTATTACTTCAAAGCACTTGGAATTTTCAAGTTGCTTTCGCATACATTAAGCCCTCTTTAATCCTCACATTTAACCTGTAGGAAGGATAGGAGAGTGTCAAGTCCATTTTACAGAGGAATAAAATGAAAGACTTAGGACACCAGCTCAAAGTCATATAACATGTCCATGGCAATGCTAGAATTTAGCACTGGAGGATTAAGACGAAACCCAATTCCCTTTCATCCTACCACCCTTGATAGATGCTCATTTCCCCCAGGTCAGGTTATCGTTGTTGTTGTTAGGTGCCATAGAGTCAGTTCCAACTCATAGTGACCAAAATACTGCCTGGTCCTGTGCCATCCTCACAAATGTTATGTTTGAGCCCTTTCTTGCTGTCACCGTGCCAATCCATCTTGTTCGAGGTCTTCCTCTTTTTCATTGACCCTTCATTTTACCAAGCAAGATACACTCCACCAGGAACTGGTCTTTCCTGAAAAGATGTCTGAAGTAGGAGAGACGAAGTCTTGCCATCCTGACCTCCAAGGAGCACTCTGCCTTTACTTCTTCCAGCACAGATTTGTTTGTTCTTCTGGAAGTCCATGTTACTTTCAATATTCTTTTCCAACACCAATGCATTGATTCTTCTAGGGTCTTTCTTACTCATTGGCCAACTTTCACATGCATATGAGGCACTTGAAAATATGGCTTGGGCCTAGAATATCTTAGTCCTCAAACTGACACCTTTGTTCTTCAACGTTTTAAAGAGATTTTGTGCACCAGATTTGCCTAATGAAACATGGTATTTGAGCTCATGACTACTGCTTCCATGAACATCAATTATAGTTGCAAGCAAAATGAAGTTTTTGACAAAGGTCATACACGTAGTTAATATCAGCAATGGCCTAGGGCTGTGTTTTGGTATGTGAACTCAAGAGGTGGGAAATACCAGCTACACCTGCCACTACTTCTCACACCTTTTTCCCTCTGAGATTAGTTGTGGCCCCACAATCAGTCTCAATTTTTTTGGAGAGGTAACCCAGCACAATGGCAAAGAATAAAGACCCTGGAGCCAGACTCCTCACGTTAGAATTTTAGTTCTGCCATTTATTGATGACAGGATCTTAGGCAAGTTACTTATCGTCTCTATGTCTCACTGTAAAATGGGAATGATCTTAATAATGTTACCTACTCTATACAGAAGGGAGTCCTGGTGTGGTGCTGTGGGCTAATGCGTCAAACTGCAAAGTCATTAGAACTGCAACGTCAGAGGTTCAAGCTCAGCAGCTGCTCCTTGGAAACTCTATACAGGGTCGCTATGTGTCGGAATTGACTCGACGGCACTTAACAACAACAACAACAACTCTATATAGAAGGAGCTCTTGTAGCGTAGTGGTTACAAGTTGGGCTGTAAACCTCAAGGTCAGCAGTTCGAAACTATCAGCTGTTCCTCGGGAGTAAGATGAGGCTTTCTGCTCCCATAAAGATTTACAGCCTTGGAAACCCTATACAGCGTTACTATGAGTTGAAACCGACTCCACGGCACACTACCACCACCAACTCCATATAGGGACTCCTGGTGTAGCACTGTAGGATCAGCACTGGACTGCGAACGATAAGGTCGGTAGTTTAAACCCACCAGCTGCTCCTCGGAAACCCTATACAGGGTGTCACTATGAGTCAGAACTATACGGTTGTTGTGAGAATTAGTATGTTGTTGTTGCTGTTAAGTGCTGTCAAGTTGGTTCCAACCCATGGAGACTGTGTATAGAGTTTCCAAGGACTGGATGATAAGCTTGAACCACCAATCCTGCAGTCCAAATTGACTTTGCTTTTTTTTGCTACAAAATAGTAAATTAACATTTAAAAGTGTTTAGAATAGTACCTTGATTATCTCAAACCTTTTAACAAGCAAAACACAGTATTCTATGCATGCTGTTATTAAGTGCAGTCTAGTCAGTTTTGACTCATAGTGACCCTGTATAGGTTTCGAGGAACAGCTGGAGGGCTTGAACCTTGTGGTTCGCAATCCAGACTTGATCCTACAGCACCACACCAGGAGTCCATTCTATGCATAGGAATGCCAATCAACCAACACAGAAGTATCAGGTGAAATCCTTTTGTCATCTCCATATTGGAAGACTTTCTGAACACCTGCATACATTAAATGTGAGCGCTACAAGACTAGGGATTTTGTGTTTCTTGTTCACTGCTGTATTCCCGGTGCACTCTATACTGAGATGCTTTGTAAATTTCTGCTGGTAGAAGGCACTCACCTACAGCTCCCCAACTGGAAATGCAGGGGAAGCCACAATTATGGAATTGTGCAAGGGATATCTTCTGCTAACCAAATGACAAGCATAGTGTTATTACATGTTCCCAACAAAGGAATTGCTGTCATGTTAGTACTGTGAGAAGGCAAGAACAAACCCCATGCTATAGCCAGCAGAGTGTGGTTGTTGAGAGCAGGGTTCAGATGGGGAGCCACTGTCTGGGAAGTAGTGAGTTCCTGCTTATGATGCTGGGAAATTTGGCAGTGATTAAGGATAATGGTTAGACAACAAGAGTAATGTCATTGTTCTTACTAAGTTGTATACCTGGAAAATGCTAATTGGTAACTATTGTGTTATATATATATTTTTTTATGACAATTTTAAAACACAAATGTAGATCAGGGTTTCTCGAGCCCAACTGCTTAGGTGCAAATAGCAGTTCTGTCACTTATACGCTTTATGAACATAGGAAATAATCGATCTGTGCCACAGATTCCTCACATACAACCACTGTTTTGAAGATTGTATCAAATAATACATGAAGAGGGCCTAGAATAGGTGTTGTAAGTGCTGTAAAGTCGATTCCCACCTATAGCAACTCTGCATAGGGTTTCCAAGGAGTGGCTGCTGAGTTTAAACTGCCAACCCTGTGGTTCAAACCGACTCTGTGGTGCAGCGCTTATCCTACAGCGCCACACCACGGCTCCAACTAGAATAGTACCTGCCAAATAGCAAATACTGGTGTGGGGCTGTGGGATAACATACTTGAACACAAGGTCAGTTTGACCCACACAGTCGGCAGAGTCAGAACCAATCCAACAGCACCTAACAACAACAGCTGCTACTGCCTTTTCCATCTTCCATCGAGAGAACGGCTGCTCCCTCCTCTCTTCTTTCTAGGGGAGAGTCAAATCAACTGAAATGTAAACTGTGCCATAATAGGGCTTCCAGGGAAGTAGAGTCTACCCATTGCTGCTATACAGAATATTTATTTCTACCCTTTGTCAAGAGTATCATCCAGAGCTTTCTCTAGTCATAGCTGTTGATCCATTTTATATTCTTTTCACTTTGCTCTCAGAAGAGAGGAGGAACTCATCACAGGTGTCTTAGAAACAGCCATAACCCAGAACATCACATGTCCAAGACACATACATTCCTTTAATTAATTAGGATCCAAGGGCAAATCCAAGCACAGTGTTTGAAAGGATCCCAACCGCTTTCTTCCATTTCTTCTTCCAAAGGAATAACAGCCCCAAGATTCATCCACTCACTTCTATTAAACATCCATCTAGTGCCTAATACAAGGAGGCCTGGTAAACTACTGGATTGTGAGCTGGGACGCTAACTGCAAGGTCAGTAGTTCAAACCTACCAGTTGCTCCTTGGGAGGAAAATGAGGTTATCTGCTCCTGTGAAGATTTACAGCCTCAGAAACCCTATAGAGGGTCGCTATGAATCAGAACCACCCTGATGACATACAACCACCACCAGCTTCAGTGCCTACTATGTGCCAAGCACCATGCAACATGCTAATGATACTGCCCCTGTCCTCAATATGGTCTCAGAAACAGACAAGTGAGCTTGTATAGGGTTTGTGAGGCTACAAATCTTTATGGAGTAGAAAGTTTCATCTTTCTTTTGCAGAGCGGCAAGTAGATTCGAACTGCTGACTTTTCACTTACCGACACAGTTCATAACCCACTACGCTTCCAGGGCTCCTTAGATTAAGTGCTAGGAGTGTGATAAAACCACAGTGCTCCACTAGGCACAGCATTGGGATTGGGGGGTCATGTTATGTTTCAACAACTATAAGAATGCCTCAAAACCTAGCAGGATGGTTTTCTCTCTCCTTTGGGACAACACAGAAAAGGCCCCCTATACATAGACAAGCCCCATGCCATCAGCCTTACCCAAATTAGTGGGTCCTTTCCCACGTTCACTCTGGCCACCAGGCATGGCTGTGAAGCTCACGTTGTAGTTGGGTCGGTTCTGTGGTGACGAGTGGGGCATGCTGGGCTGTTGCTTGGACTGTGATTGCTGCCAGTTGTAGCCCCCACCCTGGGACCACCCTCCACCCATAGGCTGGGGAGACACCTTCTGTGGTGAGCTGAGAGGCGGAAATCCTCCACCCAATCCAGTCGGTGTGGTGGGTTTGCTAGCAAATGAAGAACTACCTATAGAAAGAAAGAAGAAAAAAAAAAGACAACGATGTTACTACTATTTGAGTGGCCTCCAACCCTAGTGTTCCAAGATATTGTTTGTAAAGGCTTTAGTGGAAATTACCTTTACTGACAGAACAATCAACCTTCTTAATAGCTACAAAATTTATAGAATACATGTATTGACTAATTTAATCTCCACAACGAAACTCTTAGGTATATATTAATAGTGCCACTTTTTTTTTTTTTTTCCAGGTGAACAAACTGCAGCTCAGAGCAGCAGTTAAGTAATTTTCTAAGAAACACACAGCTGCAAGTAACAGAATTGCGACTTCAGCGATCCCCAAGCCAGAAGACTCCTCCCTGACTCTTCCCACTGTGGCAGCTCTCCCTCCTCACCACCTTCTCAACAGATTCTGCTTATCCACCTGAGTGAAAACAACAAGGTAGCAAGGGCAGGGAACAAAACAGAATTGGTTCATTCTTAGGAAGCTGTTAAAACTTCAACTGTTAAGGTTGTTGCCAGCTAAGCATGATTCCTGCCCAAGAGCAAATCAAGATGCTTTGAAATTTCACAAGTAGGGTTAATTTCAACACTTCCAGCTTTTCATTGCAGGGAAATACTCTGACAGCACTGATCAAGATTAAGGATCTTATTCAAGTTTTAAAAAATATTACTTTGTGCCAGGAATTTAAATAATATCCAGATTTCATAGTTGCATAAATTTTAAACACTCACTGCACACATAATGGGCTGTTGCCAAAATGTTCTGAAGACCACTGAAAGCTGAAATGAGGTGATCTTTCATGCAATGCGGTGATTTTCCATGCAATGAACCCAAAGTGACAAAGCTAAAATAATATTTATATAGCTCCTTGAGCCCTCCCACTGACAGCTAGCTGATTGTGACTCATAATGACCCTACATAAGGTTCCCACAGCTGTAAATGAGCTTCATCTGACTCCCGAGGTATGGCTGGTGGGTTTGAACTGCTGACCTTGCAGTCAGCAGTCCAGGGCTTCTCAGACTACACTATACATGTTTATATATATTGCTACCTTTCATCAAGGTAATATCCTAGGAGGCATGCATTTTTGTTTCACTTTAAGGATGAGGAAGTCAAGATTCAGAAAGGCCAACTGACATGCTCATGCTCACAGACCTCGTTAATGGAGCTGGGACTCGATAAAAGGACAGGTCCCCTAACTCCAGATCTCATGCTCATTTGCTGCACTATCTCTTATTTGTCTAATCTCTAATTCCTCTCCGAGTCCCTTTCAAAACAACTTTTCCCTTACTGTCTCTCTTTACTGTAGATATATTTTCTCTCTATTCGGATCCTGGGACGACTCTTTTCTTCCCAATGGGAATACCATATAATGATCACTGGGTTTAGAGGCCATCTAAGTTTGAGTCTCAGTTCCAGCACTCATTCCTGCATCCATTAGTACATCTATTCATTGGTTCATACATCCGTTTAATCACTATTTGATGAGCACCTACTATGTGCCAGGTACTGTGCTGAGATCTAGTAATATAGCTGGAAAAAAACCCTATAGCAAATCTTTGCTTTTTTGAAACTAGGTGGAAAACTTCACCTCTTTGAGCCTCTGTTTCCTCATCTGTAAAATAAAAATTACCAGTCTACTATAAAGACAAGACAGTGACTCTTGTTGTTGTTGTTGTTAAGTGCTGTCAAGTCGGTTCCAACCCATAGTGACCCTGTAGTGACTGTTGTTGTTGTTATGTGCTGTGGAGTCGGTTCCGACTCATAGCGACCCTGTACAGGGGTTCCAAGGCTGTAAATCTTTACGGGAGCAAAAAGCCTCATCTTTCTCCTGTGGAACAGTTGGTAGTTTCAAACTGCTGACCTTGTGGTTTGCAGCCTGATTTATAACCACTATGCTATGGAAAGAGAAAGGCTGTGTGCTAACAGGCAGGAGGCTGGCTATGTACCCCACTTTGGTTGTTTAAATGATTATATTTTTGTGTATATCAAAAACCAAACAAACCGAAAGAATAGAGGTAAAGACTGTTAACTGATGGTGCATGGAGGGGATTGTAATTATTACAATGAAACAAAATATGATTGGTTAAGTGCAAAACTGATTTTCTACAATGTAAACTATCACTTAATTCATAATAAAAGCTTAAAAAAAAAAAAAAAAGACATAGCAACTATATGCAAGTGTTTCCCTAATGTTGAATTAAGGGGCAGGAAATATGATCAAAGATTGCAAGCTCACGTGTCCAGCACATGCCTGAAATCTCATAACCTGCTAACTATACCTTAACCAGTAGTCATTAGGTTTTTTTCTAACTGGTAGCCCTATGTGTGTCAGAGTAGAACTGTGCTCCACAAGGTTTTCAATTGCTGCTTTTTCAGAAGTACAAGGAGGCTTCAAAAAGTTAGTGGTATACTATTAAAATAAGAATTTAAAAATAATGGCATTTTTCCACAAACTCTTTTGAAGCTCTTTTGTAGATCACCAGGCCTTTGCCCTGAGGTACATCATGGGCTCAGTATATAGGACATCAGTATATAAGACAGGGTAATGATGGGACTTGCACTCTGAGGCCTGGCATTGCCCTCTTTCCATCTGGAACTCATAGCATGACATCTCTCTTCATGTAACTCTGGGTTCTCTTGCCAACCACACAGCAACATACATCTAACACTAATTCTTCATTTTATGTTTTTAAGAATGCATAATACATTTTTTGTCTGAAAATATGTGTTTATTACTTTAAAAATGTGCAAATAAGGAAAAATTTTTTAAAAAGAAACTAAACTCCATATTTTTACACTACTTTTATTTTTTCAATTATGAAGCACTATTGGGCATCTTCTACATGCCAATAGCCAGACACAATACGTAAAAGGCACATGCTGACTCTGCTCTCATAGGACTCATCAGCATGATAAGAGAAGAGTCCTGGTGTGGCACTGTGGGGTGATGCGCTGGTCTGCAAAGTTGGTTTGAATCACAAGGTCAGTGGTTCAAGTTCACCAGGTGCTCCTAGGAAACCCTATACAGGGTCACTATGGGTTGGAACGAACTTGACAGCACTTAACAACACCCCTTCCAGAATATTTTGCTCAGGCTAAGTGTGATAGTTAAGGTTTTGTGTCAACTTGGCTGGGCCAGGATTCTCAGCAGTTTAGCAGTTAAGATGCAGTTATTGCCTCCATGATGAGACCTACTATGATGCAATCAACCCCACAGTATGATCTGATGTGGTCAGCCCTGACCTGATGTAATTATCCAAAGCATTTAAAATCCTCACATCTATGATGTTAGTGAGGTCAGGTGCAATCTACACGACTAGGTTTTATCTTGAGCCAATCGCTTTTGAAATATAAAAGAAGAGAGAAGTGAGCACAGAGGGACGAACCTACCACCACCAAGATAGAAGAGCCATGACTGGAGTGTGTGTTTTGGATCTGAGGTCCCTGCACTGTGAAGCTCCTAGATCCAAGGGAAGATTCACACCAAGATATATGGAGAACTCCAAGTAATACTGGGCCTACAAACGCTGAAAGGCTTTCCCCAGAAACGACACAGAGAAAGCCTTCCCCAGAGCTGGCACCCTGAAGTTGGGCTTTTGGCCACCTAAACTGTGAAAGATAAGTAAAGTCTATAAAATAATTGATGCATTCGAGTTATGGTATTAGAGAAGATTATTAAAAGTACCATGAACCACCAAAAGAACAAACAAATCTGTGTTGGATGAAATACAGCCAGAATGCTCCTTAGAAGTCAGGATGGCCAGACTTTGTCTCTCATCCGTCGGACATATTATCAGGAGGGACCAGTACCTGGGGAAGGGCATCATATTTGATAAAGTGGAAGGTAAGTGAAAAACAGCAAGACCTCCAATGAGATGGACTGGCACAGTGGCAGCAGCAGTGGCATCAAGCGTTAACAATGATTGTGAGGTTGGTGCAGGACTGGGCAGTGTTCTGTTCTGTTGTACGTAAGGTCGTTATGAGTCAGTACTGACTCAATGGTCCCTAACAACAACAAAACTGTGAGAGAAAAAAATTCTGATTGCTAAAGCCATCCATTTGTGGTATTCTGTTACAGCAGCACTAGATAACTAAGACACTAAGCAATTATAGCTGTTAACACAGTGAACTGAAAGAAATACAAAGTAATCCCCAAACTCTGAGGACACTATCATCCCCATTAAAAGTTAAAGCAATGGCTCTCAAACTTGACTGCACATAAGAATCACCTAGGGAACTTTTAAGTCCTTGGGTGGCATAAACAGTCTGTCCTGAGTTACAAACCATAAGGTTATCTGCTATAATTCACCCACAGAGCTGCATTTGGAATCAACTCCAGGGAAATGGGTTTTGATTTTTTTAAAAAATACAAAAGCCACATCCCAGGTCAATTAAATCAGAATATCTATCAAAAGGATCAAAGTTTTGGTGTTTGTATCAGAATTTAATGGGGAGATACTTTGAAGAGAAGTTCACTGTCTTTTTTAAATTGCAGCTATATAATTTGGAAGTTTAATTTTTACTCTCACAACACCTGCCTATGAGACCCAAACTTCTAACTTAATAGCACTTCTTCAGACACCAAATCTTTCTGACCAGCCTCCTCTCTCGTCGTTTCCCTACTGCATATGACCTTGGCTGCAGCCAAAATTTGCTGTCAAATACTCCTGAAGCTCTAACTTTATTCACATTATTAGTCCAGAGCTTGACAGTTTGAGTCCATCAACCATTACTCTGCAGGGGAAAGATGAAGCATTCTGTTCCTGGGTCACTAGAGTCAGAACCGACTCTATACACTTGACAACAATAACAACAACAGCCCCAAAGTAGGTATTCACAAGTAGATTAATTAGTGTTATTTATAATCCAATTTTGATGCCTATATTGCTTGTTTTAAAATCAATTTCAGGTTCCAAAGTATAACTTAACTCTCACTATTTTAAGTCTCAGGAAATAACATCAGCTCAATGTAACAGCAAAGATTTAGACTTGAGGCTTTTTAATCCATAAGTAAATGTTATTTATATCTTAACCTGCTAAATTTGTACCAAGTGCCCCAAGGTCGGCAAAAGGATCCAGAGTCTGGGGTTTATTTTGATGGGTGGGCGTGCCATGTGAAGAGCCTGTTGGGCTGGTGGCAGCTGACTTGCTTCCCATTCCAAAACCTCCTGAAAAGGAAATGAGATCATTGAAAATAAGGCACTTGTTGTAGGCTGAAATCTAAGATTCAGAATTCCAGGGTAACTGCTCTGGACAAACCAGGGCAAGGTTTAGAAATGTGTCAGATGCTGCTAGAACATTTGTCTGACTTGAGGGCAGGATGGTCAGCAGCAGGCGCAAGGCACGGAAAAGATATCTGCTGTTTCCTGATCTATGCTTACCTTTCACCTTACCTGACATCATGCTTTCCTCTGGGCTTTGGAGTCTGAACCCTGGCTCTGCCACTTCCTAGAAGAGGGACCTCGGGCATGCTGCATAATGTTCCTGAGTTTCAACATTGTCTCATTAGTGAAAAAGAGGAAAGAGCAATGGCCTCTGAGAATTGTACATGTTTATGGATCTGTGTGTGTGTGCTAGATCTTCGTGTTTGTGTGTATGTGTGTGGATCTCTGTGTGTATTTGTATGGATCTATGTGTGTGCATAAGATCTGTGTATGCATGTTCATGTATGTGTTAAGTCTGAGTGTGCAAGTTTGAGTATGTGTGTTCATGTTTCAGTATATGTTAGGTCTGTGTGTGCATGTTTGTGCACTTGAGTATGGATCTATGTGTGGGTTTGTGTGCATGTGTGTGGATCTGTGCATGCATATTAGATCTCTGTGTTGCATATGTATGGATCTGTGTGTGTGTTGGATCTGTGTGTGCATGTTAGATTTGTGAGTGTGTATTTGTGTTGCATGTGTACGGATCTGTGTACAGATTTGTGTGTGTGTGTGTATGGATGTATTTGTATATGTATACAGATCTGTGTGCATCTGTATGAATCTCTGTTTGTATTTGTATGCATGTCTGTGTGTGAATGTTTGTGTACTTGTGTATAGAATTGTGTGTGTGTGTGTTTCTCTGTATATGTAAACTGCACCAGGTTGGAAACAGACCCACACAAGACAGCCTTTAATAAACGCCATAGTAGCCATGAGGAAAAGACCTTAGCTATATCTGACAAACCCAACCCTGCAATAAGCACTTTCTGAAGAAGGAAGAATATTTGTATTCACTAAGCACCTACTATATGTCAGACTTTTATGTAAGTTATTTCACTTAAACAAACAATTATGTGGAAGAATAATTTATACCCAATTACAGATAAGCAAACTTAGACAAAGACTTGTCAAAACTTGGTAGAGCTCGATATACCCCTAGGTCTGCCTGGTTCTGTTATCATGGCTGAAATTCAGCAAATGCCATTTAAAAAGTTACATAACATATAATATTTAACATTACCAAGTGTTACATAAGGGAAATGCAGTGGGAAAAGCAATGGGCAATTTCCCATTACCAAGTGCAATGGGAAAAGCTGCCCGAATGAATCTTGAGCAAACATAAACACAAATTGCATGGGTGGATGATAAAAATACTGTTTACGTGTTCACTAGAGATTATGTGAAGGATTAAGCTTAAGCAATTGGTTAACTATGTCTAAAAACATAGCCTGCTGATCTTTACCTGGTTTAGCATGCCAGTCCCAGCCTCCTGAAACATCTGGCTGAATGTTCACAGCAGGTGTACTAGAAGCTGCAAATGGGGAGAAGAAAAAAAAAATAAGAATGAGATAGAATCTACTTTTCTGAGTTCATGCAGAAAAATACTATGTCTTCCACTAAGGCTGTATCACTTCCCAAGGTCCTTCTTCTACGTTCTGACCACACTCTACAACACTTGCTATTTTGTGCCATCACCTATGATATTCACATATGGCTTGGTAGAAACAGTATCATTTATCTCCTTTGGCTCCCTGGATTCTACCTCCCTTTCCATCATATAATGTGTACTCAGTCCACAAACTTTGAATTGTAACTTGCATATGTCTGTTTTCATTAGCCTGTGAGCTCCTCAAAGGCAAGGACTAGCTTATTCATCTTTGTTTGTCCCACTTCTATACTAAACACAGTCAGTGGGAATTTTTCAGAAGGGGTGGGGGGTGGGGCTTAAACTCAATTCTCCAGAGCTTGACATGAACACGTATACCACAGACATTTCTTGGAAAGGAAAAAGTAGGTAAGTCAGTAGTATTTGGGGGCAAGGGGATGAGCACTGATTTGAAGTGAAGTAGTCCAAGAAGGTGACAGCAGAAGGAAGACTTAATGTACATCCTTGTATCCTTCCTCCCTGAGTAGTCAGCAAACAAGAGATGCTTCTAAGAAAAGGGACACTAATCATGGGTGAGAGGTAAATGTCGTCATATTGTCCAATGGACCCACTTCAGTAACGTTGAGATTAAAAACCAGAGGACATTACCCACAAAGGTTGTTTCTGGACTGATTTCTCTTGCTTTAGCCAAATTATACTTTGATCTATGGTGCACATCTTATCTTTCCTTTGCATCTGCATGGCTTCCATGAAGTCACATTAATATCTAGACTGGATTCTCTGGGTATGCTCAGAATGCATTCAACAATGCAAGGAATGAGCTACAATTCTCCAACCAAATGCATTTCTGCTCTATTGAAGATCTCCAATTTTAATGAAACACTTTTGCATTTACGGAGATCTGATTACTTTTGTTTCCACACAACATCAGTCTCTAACAGAAATGCAAATATAAATATACGATAGGCCACACTGTCTAGCAGCTATGCTAATGACAATATATTTGAAATATATCTTAACAAAGCAAATATGAAATAGCAGTGAGGCATATGCTGTTTTCTACTGAATTCTGAAATCTGGTGCGTATTTTATATTTAGTTTACATCTCAAATCAGACTAACTACATTTCAAGTCCTTACCAGACACATGTGGATAGTGACTTTTGGACAGTGTTAGAGCTAATACATCAGGGTGATACAGTTTAAAGTTTGTTCTGTGTAATACTAATTTTGTGGAATGCTTGAATTTTATTAATTTTAATATAGAAAATGTTTCCACATTTCAAATATTTCTACACTCAGATGCACCGTCCAGTCAACTAAAGTGGCAATGTTTTTCTTATTCATTTATAAATCGACAAACTCAAAAGCCAAACTCAGTGTTGTCAAGCTGATTCTGACTCACAGCAACTCTGTGTAGAGTTTTCCAGACTAAATCTTTATGGGAGCAGAAAGCCTCATCTTTCTCCTGTGTAGAGACTGGAGGATTGTGGTTCACAGTCCAATGCTTATTCCATAGTGCCACCAGTGATCCTAAAAATAATGATGCTGCTGTGACTGTTGTTGTTCTTGTTAAATGCTGTTGAATCGGTTCCGACTCATAGTGACCCTGCATAGGGTTTCTGAGGAGGAGCTGGTGGGTTTAAATCGCCAACCTTGTGGTTCACAGTTCAGTGCTGATCCTACAGCATTAACTGCCTTCAAGTTGGTTCCGACTCACAGCAATGCTGCACAGGGTTTCCAAGGAGTGGCTGGTGGGTGTGAACCACTGACCTATACTTGTGGTGTAACCCTGTTTGGAAAAAAGACTTATCTATTCTATACTAATTAATAAGTCCAGTGCTTATTCTACAATGCCACACCAAGATTCCAAATAACAAGAGTCTTGGTGTGGCGCTGGAGGATAAGCAATGGAAGGCAAGGTTGGTTTGAACCACAAGGTTGGTGGTTCAGACTCACCAGCCGACCTTGTGGTAGAAATGAGTTGGAACCGACTTGACAGAACTTCACAACAACTACAACAAATGGTGCTTTATAATGCAGTGCATGGACTCTAACACACACACACACAAAAAAAAGAAAAAATAGTTAACAGGAAAAATGTTTTAGAAAAGCTAAGTAGCTTTCTTTCCTATAAGAGATCTCAGAGTTTTTAGTTTAATATTTTAAAACAGTATTTTAGTGTGTCTTCTCAGTGAGGGTTTCCACAGTAATTTAGGTTCTCATTCAACATAAATTCTTCAGTGACATTAGTTACATTTTTCACAATGCATGAATATTCTCATCATTTTCATTCTGGTGGTTCTTTTACTATTCATCTAATTTCCCTTCCCCCTTACATGCTCATCTTTGTTTTAAAGTAACTGTTGACTGTCCAGAGCTTTTAATTTATTTTGTTGTTAGTTGCTACCAACTGGCTCTAACGCTGATGCTTTTAGGTATAATATAACAAAATGGAGCACAGTTCTGCACCATCATATCTGTGAGACCACGGTGAAGTATGTTTCTACGATGTTGGCGATTATACCACTGTGTTTCCAGTAGGGACACTCATGGTGAACAGTTTTCAGAAGAGCTTTCAGATTAAGACAGACCAGAAAGAAAGGCCTGGTGATAGAATTCCAAAAATTAGCCAAAGAAAAGTCTATGAACACAACAGAGCTTTTAATATGAACTGTTAATCTCCAAAAGAAAGCTGTAACATACAGTTCCCACCTGAAAAAAGGATCCACAGAACGTTTTTCTATCTGAGCACCTACTGATCCCTTATGGAAAACTATGTTATACTGAACACAATAGTTCCTCACCATGCACCGTAGGTGATGGACTTCTTGTAGGCTGAAGAAAGGGGTCACTGGATACACCAGATGTGTTCAGAAAAGAACCCAGCAAATCTTGGCCTGATGGTTTTGAAGGTGCTCCAAATGGATCAAAGGAGGCGCCTAGAAAACAAAAGGAAAAATGTATTCTATTAGCCTTTGAGTTTATTCACTCAATAAGTATTGAAGAATAGTCACTATTGCCAAGGCCTATGCTAAACAGTTTGCAAAAACTTAATATTAAGGTGTTCAAGCATCCTCCCTATAGTCCTGATCTTGTTCCATTGGACTTTCACCTGTTTGGTCCCCTGAAAGCAACCCTTCAAGGATGAAGATTCACTTTTGATGGAGAAGTGAAGACAGCTGAGCATTCGTGGCTTGGAGTTCAGCCTGAAACATTTTTAAATAAGGGAATACGAAAGCTTATTAACAGAAAGACAAAGTATACTGAAAAGCAAGGAGATTATGTCAAAAATTGATGTATTTGTCTTTTTTCAAAGTTGATTAAAATAAATTCTATAGCCAGAGTAAGGATAATTTTTTACTCATCCTAGTATGTGTATATAGACTCCTGATGTGGTACTGTAGGATCAGCACTGAACTTCAAACTACAAGGTCAGCAGTTCAAACCCACCAGCTATTATTCCTTGAAAACCATATACAGGGCCACGATGAGTCAAACTGACTCAACAGAACTTAACAAGAACAACAATATATGTGTGTGTTGGAATCCTAAACTTACTTGTGGTAAGTTTGGAATAGACATATCTATTTTATACCAACTAATCAAGCTACCACCACTTGTCTGTCAGTTTTATTATACTGTGGTGGCTTGCGAGTTGCTGTGATTCTGGAAGCTATGCCACCGGTATTTTAAATATCAACAGGGACACCACGGTGGACAGGTTTCAGATGAGCTTCCAGACAAAGATAGACTAGGAAGAAGGAGAGATGAGCTACTTCCAAATATTTTGACACTGAAAACATTATGAATAGCAGAGAAACACTGTCATATCAAGTGCCAGAAAATGAGCCCCTCAGGTTGGAAGGCATTCAAAATGCGACTGAGGACGAGCTGCCTCCCCAAAGTGGAGTTGACTGGGATGATGCGAGTGGAGTGACGCCAGTGGGAATAAGGCCATTGGGACCTTCATTTGCTGATGGGGCACAACTCAAAATGAAGAGAAACAGCTGTAAACACCCATTAATAATCGGAATGTGAAATGTACAAAGTATGAATCTAGGAAAATTGGAAATTGTCAAAAATGAAGTGGAAGGCAAAAGGCAAAACCATCAATATCTTAGGCCTTGGTGAGCTGAAATAGATTGGTATAGGTCATTCTGAATCTGACAACCACATGGTTTACTATGCTGGGAATGACAAATTAAAGAGGAATTGTGTTACATTCATTGTCAAAAAGAACATATCAAGACCTGTCATGAGGTACAACACTGTGATAGGATAATATCCATGAGCCTACAGGGAAAACCAATGAATATCACTATATTCAAATTTACACACTAACCACTAAAGCCAGTGAAGATGAAATACAAGAATTCTACCAACTTCTTCAATCTGAAATTGATCAAACATGCACTCAAGATAAATTGATAATCATTGGTGACTAGAATGCAAAGGTTGGAAACAAAGAGGAAGGATCACTAGTTGGAAAATATGGTCTTGATGATAGAAATGATGCTGGATAGAGTTCTGCAAAACCAATGATTAGTTCATCTCAAATACTTTTTATAAACAGCATTAAGAGACAATTATACACATGGACCTCACCAGATGGGATACACAGAAATGAAATTGACTACATCTGTGGAAAGAGACAGTGGAATAGCTCCATATCATCAGTCAAAACAAGGCCAGACACAGACTGTGAAACAGACCATCAATTGCTTACATGAAAATTCAAACTGAAGCTGAAGAAAATGAAAACAAGTCACCAAGAGCCAAAATATGACCTTGAATATATCCCACCTGAATTTAGAGATCATCTGAAGAACAGATTTAATATATTAAACACTAAAGATTGAAGACCAGGAGAGTTGTGGGATGACATCAAGAACATCATACAGGAAGAAAGCAAAAAGTCATTAAGAAGACAAGAAAGAAGGAAAAGGTAAAAATGGATGTCAGAAGAGACGATGAAAGTTGCTCTCCAGCACAGAGATGCTAAAGCAAATGGAAAAAATGAGGAGGTACAAGATCTGAACAGAAAATTTCAAAGGTCAGCTCGAGAAGTCAAAGTGAAATATTACAATGAAATGTGCAAAGATCTGGAGTTAGAAAACCAAAAGGGAAGAATACACTCAGCATTTCTCAAGCTGAAAGAACTACAGAAAACATTCAAGCCTCAACTTTTGTTATTGAAGGATTCTCTGGGCAAATTATTGAATGATGTAGAAAGCATCAAAAGAAGATGGAAGGAATATACAGAGTCACTGTATCAAAAGGAAATGGTCGATGTTCAATCATTTCAAGAGGTAGCATATGATCAAGAGCCAATGATGTTGAAGGAAGAAGTCCAAGGTGTATTGAAGGAATTGGCAAAGAACAAGGCACCAGGAATTGATGGAATAAAAATTGAAACCTTTCAAGAAAGTGAGGCGGCACTGGAGAACTCACTCATCTCTGCCAAGAAATTTGGAAGACAACTATCTGGCCAACTGATTGGAAGAGATCCGTATTTGTGCTCATTCCAAAGAGAGGTGACCCAATGGAATGCGGAAATCATCGGAAAATCTCTTTGAGATCCCATGTGAGTAAAGTTTGACTAAAGGTAATGCAGAAATGACTGCAAGCATACTGACAGAGAACTTCCAGAGATTCAAGCCAGATTCAGAATAAGGCATGAATGAGGAATATCATCGCTGACATCAGATGATCTTGGCTGAAAGCAGAGAATGCCAGAAATATGTTTACCTGTGCTTTACTGACTATGCAAAGGTCTTCGATTGTGTGCCTCATGACTAGCTATGGACAACATTGTGAAGTATGAGTATTCTAGAATACTTAATTGTTCTCATGAGGAACCTGTACATAAACCAAGTGGTAGTTGTTCAAACAGAACCTGGGAACACTGAATGGTTTAAAATTAGGAAAGGTGTGCGAGAAGGTTGTATTCTTTCACCATACTTACTCAACCTATATGCTGAACAAATAATCCGAGAAGCTGGGTTATATGAAGAAAAACATGGCATCAGGATTGGAAGACGAGTCATTAACAAACTGCGATATGCAGATGATACAACCTTGCTTGCTGAAAGCGAAGAGGACTTAAAATACTTACTGATGAAGATCAAAGACCATAGCCTTCTGTATGGATTGCATTTCAATGTAAAGAAAATGAAAATCCTCACCACTGGACCAATAAACAACATTCTTAATCAATGGAGAAAAGATTGAATCTGTCAAATACTTTATTTTTTTGGATAAACCATCAACACTCACAGAAGCAGCAGCCAAGAAATCAAACAGTGTATTGCATTAGGCAAATCTGCTGCACAAGATCTTTTTAAAATGTTGAAGAGCAAAGATGTCAGCTTGAGGACGCAGGTACGCCCGACCCTAGCCATGGTATTTTCAATAACCTAATATGCATTCAAAAGTTGGACAGTGAATAAGGAAGATCTCCTTGGAGGCCAGGATGGGCACACTTCATCTCTCATACTGCAGACATACTATCAGGAGGGACCAGTCACTGGAGAATGATATCATGTATGGTAAGGTGGTAGGTCAGAGCAGAAGAGGAAGACCCTCAACGAGATGTGTTGGCAAAGTGGCAGCATCAATGGCCTCAAGCATTGCAACAATAGTGAGGTTGGCCCAGGACCGGACAGTGTTTCGTTCTGTTGTGCATAAGGTTGCTATGAGTTGGTGCCAACTTGATGGCACCTAACAACAACAACAACAATTCATGCTAAGTAGGACAGGTTTAAATCTAATTACTTCTCAGTCTGAAAAAGAGCAGAATAGACACAAAGTCACATATAAACACAGGGCAAGAAAACTGCCACATAAGGACTATCTACAAGAAAATAATATCACCAAAAACCACAGACAAACACCGGAAATTTGGAGAAAGGCACATAGAACCTGGGCCAGCCACTGATATGGCCTTTTACCCTCTAGAAGAGTAAGAAAATAAATTATTGTTCCTTACAACCGCACACTTGTGGTATTTCTTTTACTTCAGAATTAAGTTATGAAGATTCTAGTTGTGTAAATATACATTATTAATTTAATTCCAAGCCTCCATTTCCTTAAATATTAACTGGAAATAATCATGGCACATACGTATTGATATTTTATGAGAACTGAATCCATATTTAGTGTTAATTTCCATATTTGGCAAATAGTCAGAGCTCCATAAATGTTAACTGTTAGTTGTTATTATTAGTAATAATTTATCTTTCTACATTCCTAAGAAGAATTAACTAAAGCAGCTCAGGCATTGATGTTCTAAAAAAAAAAAGTAAGGGTGAGGAGCTCAAATACTCACTTTAGCACTGTGCTTTCAAAATGGACAATAATTCTATTTCCTCTTGTGTTCATCATTTAAATGAAAATTTAGACTTTTGAAGATTTTCTGTAGAAACTGGAAAAATTTAGTATAGGGAAGTTCAGTTCTACCTGCTTGACCCAAAAGTTATCATTGCAAACTGAAAGACACGGTACTGCATGAGAAAAAAATTACCTTCTCCCACTCTTAGGGTTGGCGATGCGGAGGCGGAGGCAGCAGACCGGCGTGGTGTCGACTGGGTAGATGTAGGTCCACTTGGATGAAACACATTGTCCATCCCTGACTGTGCCGCCTGTGTAGGACCAGCCATGCCTGTACCCCCAAACAGGTCACTCAGCAGTTCAGAATTGGTGGGAGGAGCCGCCGGGGGAGAGAAGGTCTTACTCACTGCAGACCCCTCTAGGCCCAGAAGGTCCACGTCTTCAGGGGGTGGAGGTGCAGCTGCCTCCTGTGGTTTTTTGCTGGACTTCTTGGTGCCATGATGTTTGTCACCATCGGCATTGCCATGTGGACTAGAAAGGGTCAGAAGTTCATCATCCGACTGCTCACTTTCCTGATTCACTAGGGCAGCGTGGTCCTCCTCACAGAACGACTTCTCTGATTTCTGATCTAAAGAAAGCCAATATGCCAACAGATGGTTAGTTACAACCATAGTGTTGTTTACTTTTGTTATATTATATGCATATAACCCTAGTAAGAGAAAAGGATTCATCCCTGAGTCCTGGTGTGCTGCTGTAGGATAAGCACTGGACTGCTAATTGAAAGGTCAGTGGTTCAAACCCACCAGTCACTCTTCAGAAACTCCGTATAGGGTTTAGACCTGACTTATAGCACATAACAACAACAACTGAGCAAGTGAGACTTTAAGACCCTTGCTTTTGGTGAAACTGCTATATTTCAAATGTCACTGGACTGTCAAATTACATTCAATTTTGTTAAGCACCTGAGAGGCAGTGTAGCATAGTGGTGAGGACCAGGAACTCTGAAGCCAGCTGTCCCGGGTTTGAGTCCCAGATCTGCTGTTTATGACTCAGCACACTGGTTATGTTACTTTACTTGTGACTTGGTATCCTCCTCAGTTAAATGGGGGATAATAAACACTACTGAACTCACAGGGCTGAATTGTTGTAAGAATTGCATAAGATGATATATATAAATGCTCAGATAAATCATAAATAGTACTGAAATAACATTGCTGTTAATACTATTTTCCAGGCACTAAGGTAGATGCTTTGAGAAGGGGAAATTTTACTAAAGCATTAGCTCCTAGTCCTTTACTAATACCTCTCATTGTCTTTTACTTCTCCATGTGGCCTGCAGCCGACAGCAAGAACTTTCTCCCACTTCTGTCAAGAGCAGAAGTGAACCACATGTCTAATAAGTAAACAGAGAAAGTGGTTCTGCTTAGAATGGTACTTACACCAACTTGAAGGAAGGTATTTTCACCAAAAAATGGGCAGCAGGAAAGAGGCCTTGTCTGGGCAGAAAATAAGGAGGATGGAGAAATGAGGAGGCATCTTTCCAGGCCCTTACTGAGGTAGCTCTTCCCATGGAGCTTTGCTACTTTTGTTCTAATGCTGGACAAATAGATCTACTTTCCAAATCAAACAGCGATACACAGCCTCCGCTATTCCAATTCTGAAATGAAAAAGCTATACATAGCGAAAGGCTTCCCAAGTTTGGTGCAAACTCATTTGGAAGAAAAACTGATTGGAATTGAGGTGACAATTCCACCTGTTTGTGAACATTTATCTCATTTGAATTATTGTTCACACATTTCACTGCAGAAATATTCATGTGTTTGATTATAGGGTGTTGTCTTAGTTGTCTATGAGGATGTTAAGTAGTTAAATATAAATATAGTGCCTTCCTAAACACATATGATTCTTAGCATTCTGGAAAAAGAGATGGTACATCTATGCAGAAAGATGTGAACCAAAGCACAACACAGAAAGAGAGGTGTAATTCAGGTCAAAGTAGCATTTTGTACTAGTCTAAGAGGTTTCTGGTATGGTGCTGTGGGTTAATGCAAGGTTGGTGGGTAATTGCAAGGTTGGCAGTTTAGGCTCACCAGCTGTTCCTCGGAAACCCTATACAGGGTCGCTATGGGACTCAACAGCCCAGAACAACAACAAGAGCTTCCAAGAAGTCGAAAGTGAAGAAATCTACACCAGTAATTAATATAATACCATTCATAAATCAAAGGCAGAAACAAAATGTGGTATACACATACAATGGTGTAGTACTCAGCCAAAAAGAGACATGTAGTTCTGATACATGCTACAGAAGAAATGAACCTTTAAAACACTATACCAGGTGAAATCAGTCAATCACAAAATGACAAACATTGTATGATCCCACTTATGTGAGATACCTAGAAAAAGCAAATGCCTAAAGGTCAAAGTTTATTAGTTGTTTCCAAGGGTGGAAAGGAGGGGGAAGGGGAAGCCATTGTTTAGAAAAAGCATTGAGTAGGTATTCATGGTGATGGAAAATTTGGCAACAGATATGGGTGATGGTTGTACAACAAGATTTTTGTAGTCGCTGTCACTTAATCATGTGTGTAAAAATGCTGCATTGGTGAAAGCCGTGCTCTCAGATTCTTACTACAATCATTTATTTTAACTGTGTATTGTGAATTGAGTGAAGGCTTACAGAGAAGACCATCAGTTTTACATTCAACAAATCAGACACTCTGTTTCATTTCCATGACTGCAATCCTAACAGGTGTCCCACGTCCCCCCTGTGGTTCTTATTCCTATCCACCCTCCTTCACTTCCCTTTTCAACTTAGTCCTTTGGCAAATGTTGCCCTTTTGATCTTGAATGGTTGTCCATTCCACGGTGAGCACAACTTACTAGTGTTGTTGTTACCCTTATATAGTTATCTACTGCTTGGTTGGAAACGGAGCCATGAGGCTGAGTTCTAGTCCAGATCTGAAGGGTGCTTATGGGACATAGTCTCGGGTTCCTCCAGTCTCTTTCTGACCCATAAGCCTGATCTTGATTTTTATAGTTTTGAGTTTTATTACACATTTCCTTCCACTCTATCTGGGACCTTTTAACGTGATCCCTTTCAGAGTATTTGATAGTGGCAGCCAGGCACCATATAATTTGTCAGGTCTCAGAGTCATGGTGACTGATGTCCACATGTGTCATTAGTTTACTGGACTAGTTGATTCCAAGCATCTTCAAATTGTTATCACTCTTCTTTCTTTTACACATGGAGATACCAATAGTTGCACCTTAAATGGTCACTCACCTGAGTAGAATATTGGACCTTGTCTTGTGGACGATGTTATGCCAGTTGGGCAATACGTCCCCTGAGACTATAGTCCTGTGTCCCCAGGCCCAGCAACTCATCGCCTTAAAGATATTTAATAATATATAAGAACATCTCATAATTTTGTCCCCTGCGTGGTGCTGAGGGTTAATGCACTGGGCTGCAAGGACAGTTTCAACTGGAAGGTCAGTAGTTCAAGATCACTAGCCTCTCCTTGGAAACCACATACCAGGTTTAAGTCAGAACTAATTCGATAGCACTAATCACAACAACAAATCCTCTACCACATTCATAGGTGTGTTTGCAGCAAAGGGAAATATCCCTGTGCAGATAAGTTGTTTTAAATGCATTAACAGTCAGAAAAAACCACTCTCTTAGTTGGCATGCCATAGGATTCATATGTATATTTTGTGTAGATATGTGAACCCTGTAATGTAAATACTTAAGACTTATTTGTCATGGAAAATTTGGGGAATGAAACTATATAGAAATTACATGAGTCTTTTTTCTTTTTAAAAATGATTGGCAATATTCACTCTTTAAATCTTATGATATCAACTCGATGGTACTTTAACAACTTAACAACAAATCTTATAATAATAAAAAATCTACTTTAAATTGCATATGTTCCTAAATTTCCAAAGTCAAAATAAATATTTAAGTGTTAAAAAAATTTAGAATGTGAGAAGTGTGTTTAAAAAAAGAAAGAAAGTAGGGAAGTACCCTGATTTGCAAAAGGATTGAGCAGGATCAGTGTGAGCTAAGAGGGAAACTGGATGGTTTCAAAGTGCTGGTTTGCTGTAGGTTACTTTGAAGGCTAACTATTTTGCACAAGAACCATAACTGAACAACATACCTTGCCAGCAGAGTGAGGAAAAGAAGCCACTTTGCCCAGCATGTCTGGGGTTCTCTGGAGGGATGTCGGCTTGAGTTTGTCCTGCAGGATAAAGGCCATGCAGCATCAATGAGACACAAGAAAGAAGTCAGAGTGATACATAAAACACAGAGGCCTCATCCTGGAAAGCAAAACCGTCAGGTGACACTTACCTCCTAAGGCCAGAGTGTCCTGCTGCTCTTGATGAGAAGAGAAGAGGATGCTGGGATTGATGTCTTTTGTGCAGTAATGTTCCCAGGGTGGGGTTAAGTCAATCACTTTGTCCTGGGGCTGCAGTTCTACATCCAGTGTCACCTGAAATAGCTGAGGATATTTTTCTGGTACATCACATGCATCCAACTCCGGTCTAAATAGGTAATTGAAAGAAGACGACCAGTAAAAAGCAATGGAACCAGTATGATGCTCAGCACAGGAGCCATCTTACACTGATGCTGAGACTAATTTTTAGGAAAGACTTACTAGCCAAATAAGTTACTTTACTTTTTTCAGCTTCAATTTTATCGTGTACAAAAAAAAAAAGAGGTGCGTGATACTGTCTACTCAAAGGATTTGCATAGTGTTAATACAGCCAGTAAACACTGGTATGGGGAGTTGTTATTGTTGTTAAGTGCCTTTGAGTCGGTCCTGACTCATAGCAACCCTTTAGGGTTTCTGAGGCTGTACATATTTGCAGAAACAGAAAGCCTTGCCTTTCTTCCACAGAGGCTGCTGGGCTCAAACTGCCAACCTTGTGATTTGCAGTCAAGAGCATATAGTGCTGAACCACCGCACTCCCTGGTACGGTGATAACGTAGTTAAAATGATGTAGCAAGTTCCCAATCATTGTCCTAAGCCACTGAATGTCTGTGTTAGCCCAGCCCAGCCACTCTACCGAGTTCCTGAGATCATACTATATAATACAGTAACAAAGGGGTAATGTCTAGGGCAGAAGGACTCTCCAGACCCTCTGCCAATACTGGCATCCATTCAGATGGGTCATTGCTCATACCATGTTGATTGCCATCTCTGCTGAAAATTAGAAAGAGATACACAAAGGCAAAGTTCAAAGTAGTGAATCTTTTCATTAAAAAGGTGCTGTATGAAACACCTCTTCTCTTATACCTTATAATGCAAATTTAGATCTTTCTATTTGAAATTCTTTGATCATTTCCTGGTGTGGTGCTCGAGGATCAGCACTGGACTGTGAACCAAAAGGTTGGTGGTTCAAACCCACCAGTTGCTAGTCGGAACTGACTTAATGGCACTTAACAATTTGAAATTCTTTGATCATCTGTACTTCATGAGACAAATCCTATTTAACTGAGGATTTAAAATGCAACCAGTCTCAAAGTGCTGTGGGCTACCATTAACAGTGCATCATCATAGGGTAACAGGGAAGGGTGCAGCACATCACTAAGGAGCTCTCAGACAATTGGCTCCCAGCATTTCACAATTGCAGTCACTGAGATGGGCTTTCAGCTAAAGCAGTACTTACTTAGTGAACTTTAAAACGGTTGTGTCCAATGGTATGAATCCAGTATGAAACTGAAGCTGGAATATCTGTGTATTGGTCACCTAAAAATACATGCAAAAGCACATTACAAAAAAGTAAATCTGATTCAAAAGATTATAATTTGGAGAGTCATGCTCCTTCACCTCTTTCTGTATCTAAATCTTGGTTTACTATGATTATTAATCTTCTCTCCTTAAGCCTCTGCTCTCCATGAACTCTGACTTAGCACGTCATTTCCTCTATTGTTAATGACCTATGTTTATACCTTTTCTGCCCTCTTAGGGCAACCACTGGCCAAAGCAAACTGCTTCAATCATAGTAGCTCATGTTGTTGTTAAGCGTCGTTGAGTCAGTTACTATTCATAGCAACTCTACATACAACAGAACAAAACACAGTCCAGCCCTGTGTCATCTTCACAATTGTTGCTTGTTCGGGTCCATTGTTGCAGCCACTGTGTCA